CAGCTGTTTAACCTGACGGTTACCTCGACTGTCGCGCCAGTATCGACTTCTCTCGGGTGAGTTCCATTTATCAATTAGAGACATAATTATAGACCAACTTAATCCCGACAAGACTGTCGGCAGACTCATTACCCTTTATTCCTGTGTGACCAGGCACCCAGCAAAATAAGTTTTGGTACTAATGAAAAAGTGAGTTTTGAGACTGAAGTCATTGTTGAGGTCAAAGATAATGTAAATATGTACAAAATTCAATTTATTTTATTTAAACCAATATTAACAATTTCTTCATAATATAATGATATATTAATAAAAATATATAAAAAATATGTTACAGTGAAATTAAGCGATAAAATTTAATATTTATACTATGAGGATCCATTAAAGCAAAACGTCTTCGACAAGCCTGGTAAATTCTGAGAATTGAAGCAACCGTCTACAATATAGTGTGTAAATTCTAGAAATTCTAAATTCTAGGCATATCTAGTAGCAGATAAAACGGACCTTTAAAAGCTCCTTCCAACAGGGCTAGTTAGTTTTCTAGATAAACTAAACTTCTAAATACAAAAAGGTGCACAACAGATTAAGCTGATCGCAGCGCATAAAGACCTAAGCCTAATCCATGAATCATTACCATTACCATGTATTGTGCTGCTTGTATGTGCCGATCAGACTAGGTCACAATGAAGGTCCACAGAAAGGTGTCCTACCGTATAATGGATGATATGTGAAAAATTCAAGCGGAAAACTGGAAACAAGTGGCAACACACAAGTTAGTGTGCATGAAAAAGGTAGGTTGGGTTAAGTTGGAATAGCGGCGTAGTCTGCCAAAGTTCACTTGTGTTCAAATAATGGTTCGTGTGATACTATGGATTAACATAGCATTATTTTTACGCAGTCTACAAAGACTTACCAAAGAATCTCAACGGTTAGCGTGCAGTACTACACTGAAAAGCATGACTGCCCCATTCGAGTGAAAGTTAACTAACCTAACAAGTCTAAAAACTTAGTCTAGTCTCTAACTTTGCAGGTTTGCAGCTCTGTCAGGTCGGTAAAAAAATTGGGTTAAAGATTTTAAATCTTCTTCTTTTATATGGTGATGGACACTGATACATGACGTAGAATACAGCTTGGTGGGCCTAAAAACAGAAATTCATTTTGGGAACTAATACTTTATAAACTGAACAATTTTCGAAGAAATCGAATAGATTCTTTTTATAAAAGCTACATTCCTTCTTCCTTAGTTGCTGAGAAAATTAAAAGACATGCGAAAATTCATTCTTATCAGCTCTAGAGACATGTAAACAAAAAAGATTAGTAGAGTCTTCAATATCACAGATCTACTTTGATAATTTTATCATTTGATGAATTATATAATCTAATTATCACTTAATTAAAAGACTGGGTTTTGATAATCTGTAAAGTAGAATGTATTTGGTATCGAAAGCAAACTCCTTATTAATTCTTTTGTAACCAGTTCTAGTGTTAACAAATATTCTTATGTGTTGTACATACTCTAATAATGTTTGTTATAAAAAATAGAAATAAAGCAAAAACTTTATCTGATTCAATCACAAAATCGCATTGAATTGAAATGATAGGTACCGCACACAATCTACGATGGTCAATTATATATATTAATAGAGTTTTTATTTTTCTTCATAATAAAAAGTGATATGTCAGCATAAGCCTGGTGGAATTACCAGAATCGTAACGACTTACGTAATTGTTAAAAAATAAGTTCCAATATGGTACTTAAAAAATTTTAGAACTTCTCAGATGAGACAATCATTCATGTAATAGATAGGGACAGTAATTCAGAGCTATTCAACGTGATTAGTTCCTCATAGTTATATATACACGGTTTGTATTTGAGTTAATAAAATTTTATAATCGATTAATTTGTGTGCGGTTCAATTTGAAGTGGATCTTAGTCACTCAATCCGCCCCTCTGACTATGAGTCTGGTTACATTACATTTAACCATTTATTATTGAAGAATTTGTGTGTGACTACGAGTCTGGTTACATTTCAATTTACCATTGATGAAAAACTCTGTCAAAAACTCTTTGTGCAATCGCTGAACACTCATACGTATAAGCGTGAAATCAGTTGAAGTTTATATTCTGGGTTATAGATCGTGCTTAAATCTTTAATACTAAAACAGTAAAGATTTAATAAGTTGCAGTGAAAGTTTAAAAACTTTACAGTTTCTAAAATTTGTGGCAATATTCATTGTGGTGGTTTCAGTCATTGTGGTATTTTTCACACTACAAACTTTGGATGCTTTTTATATAAAATACATAACAGATTTTTATCTAAAATTACAAATATAATGTATAACTTATCAAACGTGTAATTTTAATGTAATATTTTT